AAAAAAAAAAAAAACCAAAAACAACAAGCTAATCAATCCACAACCCAATTTTATACCAGGTTAATATGAAGGTTTTAAATGACAGAAGTTTGGTGAATCAGGAAATCATTTAGGTTGTTATCTTTCATTTTCACACAGGTCTTATTTTAAGACAGTATTTATATGACTAAGACGTTGAAATAGAACAGTAGATGCATATCTGAAGAAGATATGTTTGAGATATCACTTGAAAAGTTGAAATTAAGGAAGATCTTTTGATAACATGGAATTTTCAAAATCTGATTTAAAAAAGCAAAGGAAAGACTAACAGTGTAGCCATTTGGGTTCCTTATGTAATATTGTAGCCCACAGATGTCCAGTAGTAAAAATAAAAAAGGTATTTTATGAAAACTGTTAACAAGACATTCCATCAAATGAGTTTGAAAAGTATATGTGGAAAAATGGAATTCTCATTTATCAAAATCCTCTCAAATCTTTAGGTAGAGCAGAAATACATTAGTCAATTTTCAACTGAGCTAATAAGCTGTCTGTAGGTATCTCTTTTAACACTTTAACCACTAGGTACTTTTCTATGTAGTATAAAATGTTGCAATGAAGAACATAAAAATGAAGCTAATCCATTCTCATTTTTAGCATGAGCTTTAGTCAAAGTTTATTATAAATGGAATTTTCATCTTAAAATGAAAATATTCAAAAGACCAGTACTGGCATATATAAAAATAGAAACAGTGTAACAACTTGCTGAACTCCTCCTGTCCATAGCAAAATAAATCAAGATAAACAAAAAATAATAACAAAAAGAAACAGAAAAAGCCAAACCAACCAACCCAATCCCGTAACAGACCGCCGAGCAAAAAAAGTCTAAGTAGTTCTGCAAATTGTGGATTTAGCGCAGCCCATTTCCCCACGGTCTCCCTGATGGTTTCTCTGGTGCCATGTATAACATAACATGCACCTCAGTTAATTCTTACTAAAAAAAAGACAAAAAAAAAAAGCACACAAAAAAACCCACCCAACAAAACAAAAACCAACCACACACATTCCCTTTTCCCTCAGTGCATTCATGTTTTCTTGCTCTCTCTGAATTCCCTAGAGTCTAATAAAGATTGAGTGGCAGGTGTTTCTGCAATGTGAACTGTAACTAGCTTGGAAGAAGACATCCTGTTGCCTACTCTCATGAAATCTGTAACAACTAAATTAGTTTAAATTGGTCCACTAATATCAAAAGTTATGGCAGGGACGACCAGACAATCATGGCTACACAGACAGAACACACATTATGACTGCACTAAACCCCCTCCTAAATCCAAAAGTCTAAGGAAATGATTATATGCATTATAGACATTGCATTTGCCTGCCCATAAAATTGAACATATTTTGCCATGCCACAAGTGCACTACTGGTATTCTACCAATGAAAGCAGAGAGGGGGATACATCATTAGACCTCACAGAATTGATATCATGCCTCCCACTATGCCATTATTCATATATGCCTTATTCAGAGGCATAAAATCACTCTGCATCCTCCCAATCCACATACAAGTCGTTAGAGCCTTCCCTGGAAAACCTTGCTGCAGTCACCCTTCCTGCAACAGTGGACACCCAGGCTGACACAGAACAGGGAATCTATTCCACAGTATGAAATCTGCACTTGGACAAGATATTTCAGCTGATGGAGGAGTGCAAGCATTGCATTTCAGGATCACAGGTGAGGGAGACTCTCAGTTCCCACAAGATCTGTTGTTTGTTATCACTAATATTCCATCCAAAATGATAATGTATCTCCACATTAATGACCAGTTAGCTCCCTCCCTAGCTGAGGCCTGTGTATGTAGTACCAACACGGTTACAGGCCCATCTATTAAGTATTGTGTAAAGCACTCACTTCAAATTACATCAGTTAAGTTATTCTACTAGAACACAATGACAGCTTCTATCTATCAAGAATAACCACCCCAAAATAAAAAATGATAATCAATAGAATGAAACATTCTTAATAAAAATTATATGCATGACTCAACAGTTTTACATTTCATAGCTTAACTAATAGAAATTTTAGTAATTTATCAAATTATCATTTAATAGTAACCGCTAAAAGAACATCTCACAAACAAGACTGTAGGACAAACACATATTCCAGCTACTCAGGTAAGGCACCTTCCTGTGCTGAGAAGAAAGACTTTTTAGAAGGTATAAGCAACATTCATGTTGCTAAGTTTTACAACACTCCACATTGGACTCTCCTGTTTACTCATTTTTGGTTTTTTTCCACCTCTGTTTGCAAACAAGTAATCTGATACACACAGATACATACATCATTGTCCAGCAAAAAATGAAGACTTTTCATTTAGACTACATACTGTCTCCATCTGAGAACAGATCCAGTAGTGTGATTAAAGTGCTGAATAATATCTAACCCCAAAATGTGTGATAATGATACAAGTACGCTTCTGTTCTTTCAGCCACGGAAGTTTAAAATGCTAATCTAATTACACTGCATGGCTGACTGATTTTCTTAAACCAAAAAATTCTCCAGAAAGTTTCCTGCAGGAAGACAGCTCAATAATGAAATGTTCTATTTTGCTAGACCCACCAGCGCTTTGGAAGCCTCTAACTACTGTTCAGTTTTCAAACCTGCTTTCAATGAAATGTATTTGTACGCTAATCTCAAAGTCAATTCGGCCGTGTCTGATTACAGCAGAGAACTAGATGCATGTGATAGGGAAAACCTTTACTTAAACTGATACATGTCATTTTTTACAGCGATTAGATAACCATTTCCAGAATGTGTTGAGTATTCAGTATGTTTAACATGAAAATGTAAGTCATAGCTTCAACATTCCTTTTATAATGTATTCTAATGGCTTCTCTTAATGCTTCTGATAAATGCCTTCTTGAAAGAATTAGTTATTTTTAATTGAATGACAATGGTCGTCCTACAGATCTACTAAAAAATCATCATAAAACAGATGCACAAGCTATTACAAACACAGGTTATTTGAAATTAAGGAGCACACAACACAGTGACATCACAACCAGACATTGTTTACACTTGACCACCAATCATTGCATTAAATACCACAGAGAAGAGTGGCAACTGTCACTGCAAAAAGGGAGCAATGTATAGTTAAACTGCTTAACAGGAAGCAAGCAAATGTGAAAAAGGCTGAATTACAACAGTGCCACCTACAGTAAAGGACGTTACAGGGTAAAAATAAATCAGTGTTCAGTCAGAAGATTAACAAAATCAGAACTCAAGAAGCAAAAACTGATTTCATTCAAAAAGTGAGATCTAATAATATCACTACGTGCATCACTACAGATTTTATAAACTTCAAAAATTAGTCACTGCCTAAAATGAAATCATCTCATACCAGAATAAATATGCCATCAATGTTGCTATTTACAAGCCTTCACTAAATACAAATCAAAAAGTAACATTTTTCTGAAGCTCTAACTCGTTTTGCTTTTTTGTAACATATAAAAAAAGCACAATAAGAACCATGTGACAGCAGACAAAGAAGAGCTGAAGACTTACCTTGCATTCTACCACGCTCTGATCCGATTCACATGTAACATAGATCTCATCAACAGCCCGTCTCAGATTGTCAAAAAGAAATGCCCAGTATCGAGCTCGCAGATCAACTTTGCGAGGCTGCCTTGTTTTTGTTGGGCTTTTGTCAAAGTTTTTATCTCCAGCTGCTGCTGCTGTTAATTTACAGTCTATGGTAGTGTTCTGAAAAAACAATATACAACAGAAAAGGAAAACAACAAACAGAAGTAGGATAAGAGGTTGGGTTTCCATGCAACACAGCATTTCAACGTATTCAAACATTTGTAAATTACAAATTTTTCACTGGAGAAAACTACATCACTGAACTGAATACTTTTTCAAAACACCCTTTCTTGTCTTAAATATAGTCAGCAGTTATGTAGAACCAGATTCTGTTTCATCAACATTTATAATTCAATGTTTGCATTGCACAACAGTACAAGATATGTTCTACTGCAGAGCACACTGGAAAGCCCCATTTTCTAACTACATACCCTGTATTACTTATTCTGACAAGTATATGCATCCAGAGATGAAAACAGCTAATAATTTTCATAATAATCAGAACAGCAATATTCCATCACAGTTGAATTCCATTACCAAGACGCTACAATATAACTTTATTGTTTTTAAACCCTCATTCTAATAACTGAGCATTAGTGTCAGTGAAATGCTAGGGCTACCCTTTTGGTTGCTATCTTATGGCTACACTGCAGAGGAGATGCCAACAAGCACTGATTTAGCTATAAAAGGAAGCTTTCCCACTACTTTGGAAGACTGCTTGTACCAAGACTTCCACTCACCATACTGTTAACATCGTATGCTCAGCTCAACCCAGTGTACGTGCTGTGCCAGTAAGTCAAGTTGCTCCTACTTACTACCAAGTCTGAAATTGTCCTCATGCTGTTTTAAGTTGTAAGTTAACAGCTTTAACTACAACAGATCTGGTTTGGGTTTTAGTGTTAATATTCAGCCTGACTGATCCAGCACTGCTTTGCTGCACAGATGCAGAAGACTGCCAAATATGTCAAATGTGATGGGAACAGAGCGAGAACATCCGACTGTCTTCACAGCTGCTGGCACAGGCAGGAATCACGACGTGCCTATTTGGAAGGACTGTTAAGCCACCTCAGTGTCCTGTACCTGTTGACCTTGGGTGTTCAGCTTAGTCACTCACACAGGCACAAGGCCTCCTTGACAGAGACAGACTGTCACTCATCTTCACATGGCATTCCAAAGCATTCTGAAGCATGCCCATTTGGCTGAAAATACCAGATCAGCCCTCAGCCCCGTGACCATGTCCTTATTAAACTTTAAATTCTCTCCCATAACAAAAACCAAATAAAAATCCTGCTACTGTGCCAAACTTGTATAAGATTCTGCATGCTATAGTAGCCATGCAGATAAGCAACTCCAGTAAACCCAAAATTATGACCAACTGTGTGTCATTTTGTGATGGAGTTATTAGCTACACGCTACAACACTCTGGGTTTTTTTGTTTGGTTAGGTTTTTCCATTAATGTGTTCATTTTAGTAGCACCTTTAATGGAGCTTTGATTAATGGGTCCACTGTGGCAGATGTCAGAAGATCAATTCTTACTAGAGTACACCTGTAGAGGTTACTACAAGACTCAATTGTAAAATCCCCACTTTTGGTGATTGAAAACAATCAAAAACAACATTGCAGAAGCCAACAGACAGAGTTTACAATTGGAATTTAGAATCATTAACTAGAAATACTGTAAATAGCAGAACAATTGAATGGGATCCAAGCCTTTTTGTCCCCTATGTAAAAAGCTGGGAAACATTACCTCTTTGTGTCAAAAATTAGTTTAATGGCAGGTAAGTTTAAACTGTCTATAAGAGAAGTCTCATAGAAAAGTCATTTTAGGGTACAGGCAACTTAAGGAAATCTGGACTGTCGCATAATTTTGGATGGACTTACAATGAAAATATTTTTAAGGAAGAGCTATAATAGTATTTTTATGACAAAATATGCAGAATAGAAACCCAAAGATGATCTTTGTGTTTTGTGGATTCCTCTTGAATTCCAACAAAATACGCCTAAGCTACAAAAAATTCCCTGCATCTTTAGGAAACATGTAAATGAACTCATATTTCTAATGCTGAAACTACAGAATGGAAAAGTAGGCAATAACCGCATGATTTTTCAATCACTTTAAGATTAGAAATGCTTTTCCTCTCTCGATTTCAGGGGCCTTATCTGATAAATCACACCATAAACACAGGTTCCCATTACAAGCGAACTGAACTCTGATGCTAAGATAGAATCTGCAAAGCTGTCTAGTAAATTCCAGAGCCTTGTTTCTTCAGCAGCCTCTCTCTCTGGGTTCCAGTCTGCTCACTTGTCCCAGTGCTCTGACTACCTGTACTGCACAGCATGAAACACAGCAAATTCTGCTTTCTCCTTAGGGAGCTAAACACTGCGCTGTCAAAACAGTTATGCTCTCACCTGCACTTCTGTTCAGGTTTGAGTTTTTCTGTAAGAAGGGGAAGAAGAGGAACCTGATTTACTACAATCATACTAACAACTCTGCTACCCCTACATATATCTCAAAACGCATCAAGTGTACTCCAGATGAACCCCAGCTTATGTATGCACAAGAGATGTTCAAAAAGGTTGCATTTTATGAACAACCAAGGAACAGAAATTTCAGAAGGGTTTCATATGTCAAAATATTTTATATTTTTTCTTCTATGACATTAATACACACCTCCTAAAGAACTGCTTGAAGAAAAGCTGCTCATTAGATGAGGTCTTGCATATAAACATTTAAAGCAGAACTTATACTGGCTAATTTACAGCTCCTTTACAATACAGTTTATAATGACACAACCTTAACTAAAGAATCATAGATAGCCATATTGAAATAACACTGGTACCTTTTGCTGCCTGTATTTATAAAATGTGAACTTAGTAAAGCAATTAGATTTCTACTCATTCAGTTAATTTTGTTGATATAAGGGATCAGTTGTTTTGGAATGGGCATCATGCTCAATTCCCCCTGTTTGAAAAGTACATTTTTGAATGTATCTTTAAAAGATACATTTATTTGTATGCTCCAAAAACTACAGTATATGCAGTTTCATATATGTATTATTCTGACAACAATATATCAGTGATACCACAAAACATTTATGTCATAAATTTAATGTTAAAATAAAAAAATAAGCAGATACCTGTTTTGCAGTCTTGTGTGTTCCTTGAGTCACTCTCTTTGTTTTTCCACCAGCTTGCCATTTCGATTTTCCTGTGGGAAAAGCAACTGTTTTAATAAAAAATAACAATTTTAATTAGGTAGAGCATTCTAAAAGGCACATATCTCGTATTGCAATGTACTGACATAGGCACAATTTATGAGTTAAGAGGTTTGCAAAACTGTATATTCCAAACATATATTTCCCAGCTTAGAATGTGGATAATGCCAGAAGACACACAGAAAATGGAAAAAAAAAAAAAAGCAACTATGCTTCCAATATCAGTTTAAATTCCCACAGTCAGAAGGGATGACTTCAGGTCTCAGTGCTGTGATGGTGGCAATTGCTTAACTGATTAAGAGTTATCTTTGCACAGATAAATTTATGTTAGCCTAGACCTCACTGACAAGATCTGCATTTAATCTTTTGAGATTTGCTATGGCGTAATTTTTTTTAAAAATGTATTTTTAAAGTTTTATTCCTCCAACTTATTATGTAGCTTGCACAACATGAAATTAACAGCATCCACTTAACAAAAACTTAAGCAAGTTAAGACAAAATACTAACTATGGTAGGAGTACTCTCTAGCACAAATTCCACCAAAGTAGAAGTTTCAAGATTATTTAGCTGTATGCAGCCAAGCAAATAAATGCATTAGTGGAATTTTAAGAGTTCTCAGGCCAAGCTCCCTAAAAGGGTCCAGCTGTTCTACATCGCTCTACTTATGTAAAGCAGCTGTAAACCTGTCAAAATCAAGCAGCTGTGCAGCTGGTTTACATCACTGGCTATTCCAGAAAACAAGGCCTTTAATTTTGAAATAAATTAAAAATTATTTGCTTGATAATTCATTTTTAAAATGCTACATTAGCCAAAACAACAGGTACAAATTAATACATGGAATTCAGTTTATCAGTATTCAGGAAAAAAATCTGATTCAGCTACCATATGTCTAAAAACTTCCTATTCACTAACAAGCATAACTTGTTGAGCAGTAGTAATTTCTATTTTTCTAACTTTACAGTGCTAAGGATCTGAGAAAATTACTGCCTTCAAGTATGGATACAACCAAAATTCTCCATCTTTCTCCACCTCCAGGTTGAATTACAGCAATATTGCACAAAATCACTGTCATTGTCTCACTCAGAGTATTACAGCCCTGTATTCACCTACCAGCACTAGACTTTCACTTCAGTCAAATTTAAGGTTTGAGTCTTAGGAGCCTTAGAAGAATAACCTTCCCTTCATGTTATATTCTGCCAGCTACAATCAGATTGAAGTTTCTAGGGCTTGCACACAGTATTTCCAGTCATGATTCTTACAGCTTCCTTAGCTGGCCAAAGAGAGACAAGTTTCATGACTTTCACCACATATTGCAAAACCTGTTTATTCCATCAGGCTCCTGCTAAAGCTGTAGATTATACTTTGGGCTCCCCAAAGCATGCCAGCTACCTCTCAACCTGTAAAGTATGTTTTCTTACCCTGAAATGCTCAATCTAGAGATGAATTCTATATGGTGAAACCCCAGATGATTTTCAACAAATAGGAAATAAGAATGGAACAGTGACAAATACAACATTTTCCAATTCTGTGACATGTGTCTTGAAGTTCCAAAGGTGCCTTACCTTTTATTAACATTTAAACGCCAAGACTCTCGGATGTTTTCAGTGTTGTTAATGTCACAGCTTAGATTTTGCAACAAAACTACTGTGTAGTGCTTATCCTCAAACCCTCTATTAGAACAATCACAGCTTTCCAATGTGGGCAGGATTTAAGTGACTGTGATAGGAAACTGGTGGCCATAGGTTGGGAATGCAAATTTAATTCTGGAGACAGAATATCAGACTAGTGAATTTTTCACAGTTTCAAGACTTTCCTCCTAGGACACAAAGTCAACTGTACTGTTAATTAGTTTATCCGACAGAATCTGCTGCATACTATTGAATTCTGTGAAGGAGTATTTTAATTTCAATAGCTGAAATACTTTAACAGACAGTATCTCTTCTAGACCATTGTCACCAAGGTTTGGATTTTCTCATGTCATTCATGACAAGGGTGTATGCTGTTACAAAACATGTAACAGAAGTGCCACCTGCCATTTCAGAAATCTCTGTCCTTTTTAAGGAAATATTTCTTGTTAACCGGAACTATCTATTTCCATTAAGGAGTTAGAAGGTTTGATTGCAATGCTTTTTGTTATTAGTCTTTTATCCATGTCCTCTACATAAAATACACAAGTCTTTCAGAGGGAAAGCTAAATGATAAGGACACAAGCACACAATTTTTAAAGGAAACAGGAAAAGAAAGGATATAAACTGAAAAAAATAATTCAGAATTTTAATATATGACCCCTCTATAACACTATCACTAGTAATAACAAATGCCCATACCTTCACTGCTTCTGCAGGAGAAAAAAAATATCTCATGATTAATAACAGTAGCTTAAATAAAATGTTAAATTACCCTCCACTACTGCCAAAGCAATACCTCTGAACATTACAAGCAGAAGACACGGCCCAACAATAAAAATTCTGCTTCCTACAGAAGAGTTGCAGGACTGGCTCAAGCAACCTGAACCTTTGGCCCGATTTACACAAGCCCTGAATGAGTCAGAACTGTTCTAATTCATAATACTGCTGCATCATTCCTCAGGGGCAAAATGCATATCAAAAGAGGAGCATAAAATGAATCAGAGCTCGTCGACACCAACATATATACGCTCTGTACCAAGACAAGGGTCAAGAGAAAAAGGATCTGGCTCTGCAAGAATTTCACTAGGCACAAGTTCCTTCCCAGGGGAAATTTTCCATCAAGCAACTATCACCAGAACCATTGTACTGTGCGAAAAAGTCAGCCTGTGATTTAATGAAGAAATTCTAAAAAGAAACAAGCACCAGCAATAAAAAAATTAAAAATTACAGTGGTGCTAATACAACCAAAAGAAGAAAATTAATACAGCTACCGGATTTCAATTATTATACATAACTATTCAATGAAGGCTAAAAATTCACTTTTATATCGATTCCTTATGTTTTAACAGAAAATGTTAAAGCAAATGTTAACCTGCAACCCACATACACTCATTTTTAAGGAAAAAGTCTTACATGGAAGCTTCTAAAAGAACAGAACAATGAAGGTAGTATTAAAAAATAATAGACTCTTTAAACAGAAATTGAATCAACTCACACTAGCTCAAAAATACAAACAGAATACAAAGTAGCAAATAGATAAATGCATCTTCTGGAGACAATGTAAAGAAAGCTGACACAAGAACACAGAACTGGCCTACTTAAAAATCCATGGTCCTGATAAGAAACTGAGCAGCTGTTGCACATGATCCAAAGCTGGGAGGTATGCATTCTACTTGGTCAGATTATGCTCAAGTCTTTAACTACTTCCATTTTTACTTCCTACATGTAGCTAACAAAGATCTGCAGCACGTTTTTCTGCTGACCAGTTAGTGCTTACTCAAGCCACCATTATACAGAATGTACTAAGATAGCTGGCGCAACACCGATGGAAAAGGGTCAGAACCTGAAACCAAGGCTTGTAAATGTGGACACTTTTAATTATGTTTAGGGTGTTTAGCTGACAAATGTAAGTTAACTGTCATTCTGCTTGGCACTGTTCAGAGGTAGAGCTACACATTCCAAACTGGATGCAATTTCCTTAATGAAACCTATACAAATGGCCACACAAACATCTAATCCGGTTCTCAAGTAACTCGTGGTCTTCTGTGACTTTACTTTTGAGCTTTAAAAAGAAAAAAATTAAATCACCCAAGCCAGTTTAAATTTTGCATCAGTTTGCTTCAGACATAGGGTTAATTATCTGGCAACTTAGACATAGCTCTTGACAGCAGTATCTTTTCCACTGTCAGAATCAGAACAGCTGAGGTTGGAAGGAACATCTGGAGACCTTCTAGTCCAACATCCCTGCTAAGGCAGAGTCAGCTAGAGCAGGCTGCCCGGAACTATGTCCAGTCAGGTTCTGAGCACCTCCAGGGACATAGATCGCCCACAATTTCTCTAGGCAACTTGTTCCAGCCTTCATAGAGAAAGAAAATAAAAATAAAATCTACTTTTAGACACTCCTACCCAAGTCTCAAAAGCAGCAGTACTTAAATAGGGACATGTGATCTACAAAAATATTTGAAATTAAGTCCTCAAAAACAGCATTTTTGACATCTGGAACAGCTTGAGCAGTAAAATAGTTCAAGTCAATTTCTGGCTCCTTAGGTTATGATACCCCAAGATAATATTATAACAGCAACGAAACTGTTCTGAGGACTTGTGTTATGGAACTGTCCCACATATCCCCTTCCTTCAAGATTCTTTACAGATGTTTATCAAAGACTGAAGTGATACCAAAAGAAACTTCCAAACTTTTTTTTTTTTTTTTCTAGAGCACAGACAGCAATTTGTTGGATTGTTCTAACCCACTTCTACGATTCTGAATTCCCCAGTTACGAGGCATCGGTTTAAGATACGTTATAATATTACACAAATACCTTGATAATATCAGCAAAAGAGAACAGTCTTAGATGCTTCTTACAGACAAAATGAAAACAGTTCTTAATCTGGCACCATGGAGGTTTTATAAAGTGTTGTGTCAGCTGCAGGGTGCATTTTGGAAAAAAGCTTTACAATTATACTATCTACAATAAACACAACCACTGATTTTTTTATAGAGAAATCCTATGTAAGAAAACTGTTTCCAGGCAAGCAACTCTGGTGGACAAGGGGACAGAAGTGGAAAAAGCTGGTGAAAGACTGTTGAATACATACCCTCATCATCTTTGTTTTCCAGTGGAACGCTCCATGCAATTAGGTTCCTTGCTGTACGTCCCTCTTCTGCAACTATTTTCCTCACTTTGTCATGGCTGTTAGAGCGTTGGAAAGAAGCCTGAAAACAAGAAATACAGGGATGGAAAAAAAAAGACATGTATATACAAATTTTTGAGTTGCTATGTTCATTTCATCTAATACGTGGTTACACCATGCAATGCAAGGTGAATGGGTACTGAATTTTCCTCAAATATCCAAAACAGATGTACATACTCATTTTCACAGACATTTTTCTGCGTGGCGAGCAGATTGATTCATCAACATGTGAGTTACTAATAACAGTAAAATCAGTATAGGTATGTCTACACCATACATTTTTAACCTCCATTTAATTGATTGTCAATGCTGCTAGAGCATCACAGTAGACATCACAAATGTTGTAGTTACCTTGTGTTAATTAGAACTAATTCTTCAAGGTAAAAGCTGCATGAGACCAAAACACACTTGTCACCTAACTGAAGAAAGGCATGAGCGTTATAGGAACCATCTAAGGAACACATTCTAAAAGCCCCATCTCTCTTTCACTGAGAAGACAAGAACCTAGAAGGTATTTCCTGGCGACTCAAGTTAGCTGTTATTACTAGAAAGCTGCAGCTGTTCAAAGACAGAACGAAAGACACCGAAGATGAACTTCTTTGTATACCTAGTAATCATATCTCTTTGCACTTGCAAAATATACTGTCGCAAGATGTATGAACCCAAATATATTAAGAAATATTTGTATCAACTGACAGAAGCCAATTTGATAAAATCCTCTCTTCTACAGTATCAAGTTACTCCTCAGAAAATAGTCTGAAAGCCAAATGATATACTGTAATAATAAATCCGTGTACCATGATGGCACAAAACTGCCAACCAAGTTACCTTTAAACACTGACAAACTTAACCACAAAGAACCTACATAAATCTAAATATTATTTTAGACAAGATTAGTGCTATAGAAAAATCAGCCTGATCAGAAGATGAAATCTTCCTGTTTTCGTTTTTACCATGAGTCGAGCCTGCAATCACTTTATTTTACAGTACATGTTTAGAAAGAAAACAGAGTAAAAAATAAAATAGCAGATGAGTGGCTATAATCAATTAAGGTGTTAGGAAACGCAACACAAATGAGAAACTTTTTACTTCAGCACTTCTATAACAGTTTTTAGCTTGCATTTCACTCATCCAGATGTCCTCAACTGCTTGTTCCAAAGCCACAGTGTGCCATCTAGTGCTCCACAGACCTACCTAGCAATACCACCATGTAATACAACAAACACAAAAAAACAAAATAGCACAACTAGATAGGCCCACTTTTGGAAAACTGGTGTGATAATTCCCACGACTAGAATGCAGGGATAGACGGATACAAGCTCTTTAGGAAGGACAGGCAGGGGAGGAGAGGAGGAGGCGTTGCCCTCTATATCAGGGAGCAGCTGGAATCAGTGGAGCTCCACCTGGGGAAGGATGATGAGCTGGTTGAGAGTATGGGTTAAAATTAAAGGCAAGACAGGGGAGGGGGATGTTACTATAGGAGTCGGCTACAGGCCACCTGACCAGCAGAACCAAACAGAGGAGGCCCTCCACAGGCAAACAGAAGTGGCTCCGCAGTCACAAGCCCTAGTCCTCATGGGGGATTTCAACCACCCTGACATCTGCTGGAGGGACAACACAGCTAGGCACCAACAATCCAGGAGGTTCCTGGATTGCGTAGATGACAACTTCCTCCTCTGTAGCCGATAGGTACAATTTTGTAAGGGAAGGCCTGGTAAAATCATGGCTCTGGCCTGTAACTTAGGCTAAGCAGAGAAGGGCTCTGGGAGAGTGGCTCAGCTAGAATAGAGGAGACGAGGCATGCGGTGTGTTTGCACCGTGGTGTTGGGCGGTTGGTTAAAATGAGTTTGTTGTGCATCAAAAGTATGTAAACTAATGGTCGACTAACAGCATAAAAAGGCTGGGTTTTTGTAAATAAAGTTCCGTCTTTGCACCTGCCTGGAGACTCCATACTGCTTCGTGCTGCCCACACCGACACACTCTTCCAAATGGTAGAGGAACCAACC